GTCCCCCCAGATCAGGGCTATCAGGGGATGTGGCTTTTGTGGGGTTTTCAAGTGTTTTGGGGGTACTTTCAGGAGGTTGTTAAAATGTGTGTTTTCTGTGCCTGGAGATAATTGAGTTTAGTACAGTTCCTGACTCAATTATCTCCTAGGCACAGGGGAGGGATTATCTTGTTTTGTGTGGGAGTGTCCTGGACCTGGCAGCCAATGTAATCATGTGTATGTTTTTGCTGTAGTCTTCTCTCAGGTCCAGTGGGAAATGCCCCTGGAATATGTAACTGGAAACCCCTTGCATGGGGACCTGCATAGAAGGCCAGTTGTAGCTGCCATTAAACAGTTCCTCTTCACCCTCAACATAGAGCCTCGTCTCATGTGTGGAGGGGACAGCTATATTCACACTGGGGATTGCTATAATCACTATACTCCCTTGGATTAAAACACTTGCTCTTGTATGAGCATCTTGCTTTACTCTCTGGACTACCCAGTGGAAGCTGCATCCTGGTCTTGGGTCCAGGGTGGTTGGAGGACAGCGAGACCCCAACCAAGCTGTAATGCTGGCTGTGGGGTTTACAGTGGTTATGGTGTCTGGAGTGCTTACGGTACTCAAGGATTACTAGGAAGCAGCGATTGGCGGAGGCACCCGGTCGGGATGCCAGGCTGTCCACCACAATATACTTTATATTGGTTTAATGCAGCACAAGCACATTTAATGACACATTTTCTGCTTACTCGTCTCTGGTACTAATTGTAAAGAGATTCCGTGTGTTGTTGTGGATGAAGAGGGGCTCTCCTGAACCAAAAGAAGCACAGAGCTTCACAACGCCAATATTGAGTTCAAAGATTTCACCTGCCTGGTCCCCCCACATGGCACCCATTATCTCATTTATATGAGAGGTGCCTGCGTTGGAGCCCATGCTAGATTCATGCAGGGGCCTGACTCAGTTGCTTGCCAGAACACCTTTCTTCCCTGTTGGCTGTTCTGGTATTCAACAGTCAATCAGTGAGGGAAGTTGGAAGTCCCTCCCCCTCCTTAAGCTGAACAACCATTACACACAAGGGTGAGAAGCTTACAGGCAGGTAAGAGTGTAGAGGGTTCAAAAAAAGACCATACCAACTGCACACCTTTATAGTAAAAATAAACTTTTTACTATGTAGCAAAAAGAAAACAACATACAAATTTCATCGGTGTATGCATACAATAAAAGTACAAGTCAAAATCAATGGTTATCCTAAGCATAAGGGTATATTAAGGCAATAATTTGTATATTCATATACAGTATATCCACACCAGTATATAACTACAGTTTGTAGAGCATAGGTGCATGCAACTAAAGAAAGGAAAATACAAGGAGCAGAAATCACTGTACCACAGTGTTACTACCGTCTGAATAATCAGCGCACACCAAAACACCCCAACATTTTAGCACGAAGGGCTCATTTGTGGTACAGTGAGTTCTTTGATTTCTGGTTCTTGTATATTCCTTTCTTTCTTTTCTTTTTTGCATACACGTTGTAACAAACCACCTCTTTTACCAGTAGGATTTTGTCACAGATCTTATGGTAACCACAGCCTTCTAGGGTAATCAAAGTCCAGGACACATCCAGCTCAGTTTTTCTGATTTATTTGGTACAAAATATACAAGTGCATCAAAATAAAATAAACAAAACAAAATTTTTGCTCTTGTTTGAGCACTTACTAAACACAATAATCACTAACTGGAATTAGGTGGTTTTCCCACAATTTACAATAGCAAAATATAGCTGCAAAACACACCATTCCTCTGGCTCTTTCTCCCTCACTCTGCAGCAGGCTGATCCCTTCTTTTAAAAGCCTGCCTGCCAATTGACCAGCTACAGGTGAGGATCAATTAGTTCACATCTCTGGAACTCCTAAGGTATATGCAAGATCTGGTCTGGCTGCTATATAGCAACTAGTGCAATTGGAGCACTGGCCCACCCTGCTCTCCAAATGCTCCGCCCCAGGGACCCATACCTTGTTTTGCAGAGCATCAGCAATGTATATTGCAAACTTAACGTCTCTCCCTGGGACATTTAACTGAAAACTCTCTGGCTGCTGTTTACCAAAGCAGGCCTGATATATCTTCCTTCAACAACTATTCCGCTTTTTCGCTCACAACGTATTCTCTACAAACTGTAGTTATATATAGTTTGAACTGTATGTATGTAGCAACTAGGTTACCGTAAACAAGAAAAAGAGAAAAATGTTAGAGTTTAGAAAATGATATGCTTGAAGTATTTGAATTGTACAAGACATCATCTTGAATTATTGCACAAGGTACTGCTGTCATCAATGATTATTAATGGAAAGTGCATAATTGAAAATGCTCTTCAATGACTGTAGAAACTTTAATGAATATACTGACTCTTACAATGAAGGTTAAATCTACTGCGTACTGTACTTTAATGATTTGTAATAATGGCTCAAACACTCAATACACATTCACATTAGAGACAAGTGGCTATCTTATGGGCATCTATAAATAGAGATGAAAATATGCTGCAATGCATAGCTGCTATTTTGCTGAATTAAATCTCGCTCTAAAATACCATTTTGCTATTAGCACTCATAACTCATCAACTATTTACATGTTGCTATGAAAAACAAACAGATTTCATATTTATCAGACTGCCACACTAAAGTATGAATTGCCAGGAATTTCATAACGCTCTCTACATGGTCTGGTTGCAGGGGCAGACTATCAGTCTTGAAACCGTCTTTAGGGGCTAGATTACTTCTTTGCTGGATGGACCCGTCCCTTTACTGTGTGAGCCCACCCACTGCTCTGTACAGTCTGCTGTCAGAATAAACTATGACCCAGCAAACAAGTTAGTAAATAGAGGGTCAATAGATGCAGGTAAAAAATGCATATTTTCTTTCCTTTGAGTTGCCGGACTTAAAGCCAAATAGAATAGTCAAAGAAAAGTCAGGGTCAGTTATGCAGCATGAGACACATACAATAAGACAGGCAGTGGCGTCTCTAGGATTCATTTTTAGGCAGGGCACATCGTGTGCCAGGGACAAAAGTAGGGGGGCAGTTATAAAACATGCATGCATGTGTGTGTGTGTGTATATATACACAAACACTCTCTGCAAACTGCAGTCTCAGCCAGGTAGGTAATGTGTCACACCTTAGATGTAGCCGCACAGTCCATTCAGCTGGCATCTAACCCATGGATTGAAGAATTAATGTCTTTTCTGCTCCCCCTTCCATCCATGTCTCTATTCCCCTCCCTTTCGTGTCTTTTCTTCCACCTTCTTCCATGTTGTGGATGTAGTGTGTATAGTATGCAGTGTGTGTATTGAATACATTGTGTGTGTGTATGGATGCAGTGTCTGTGTAGTGTATCGTATGTTTGTGTGGTGGATGCTGTATCTGTGTAGTGGATGTATTGCATGTGTATGTAGTAGTGTCTGTTTAGGGCATGTAGTGTTGGGTAAGTGCTGGGGTTGAGCCATTTAAATTAAATGACTTCCATGTTCGTCGAGATGGAACACAAGTTGGAATGCGGCGTTCATAATATAGATCCGGCCGTCATTGATGATTTCCAATTGGAATCAGTCCTCACAACCCCAAGCCTCTCCAAAGCCAGGGAGGCTCAAATAAGTTCATTTGATAAGAGGATTTGTGTACAAAATGTAAACAATGTTAAAAATTCACCATCTTATTACAGAAAGAAGGATTTCTCATAGGAGAATGTAAACAATATCAAAAATGTGATATACATATATATATATATATATATATATATATAATAAGAGATAATAATGGAACTAAAAATAAATACCTATAAATGATAGAAAAATAATCACAATATAAAAATCAGATATAGCAAATCAATATTAAGAGTATGCAATTAGAAAATAGAATGACCAATCAAAAATTCTCAATTCAATATATATGGAAATAGTATCATTTAGTGCACATATATACATGTGACTGTTACAGTGCACATATACAGACTTGATGTGACTGTTCAACCACAGACTTCCCAATGCTGCTCAATGAGAAGTCTTTGTAAGGCAGGTGCTCTGGGCTGTTGCTGCCACTTGAGTTCAGTGCAAATAATCTTACCATACCAGGAGGTAACAGGACCTGCTGTCTGCTTGAAAAGTCAGGGGGTGTAAACAGCATAATTTATAAAAGTGTCAATTTCTTTTAAAATGTGCACTATTTCCAAAAAATAAGGACACACTCTACACACATAAAGATTATTAGCAAGCTAAAGTAATTCAGAGCTCTTGAGTGTCCCTTTAAAGCTTTATACTTTAAACTTGACCTCCTATTTTCATGAAATGTATGTGTTAGTGTGTGCATCATTTATTTATAATATGACCAAAAATTACCTAATTTACTTATTATATGCAATTTGTAAATTTTTTATTAAGGTTCATCACTTTTCCCTAATTCATTTTAGCACACTGTTCTATAGAACGTGAGTTAAACTAGTAGCAATGCTGAGTCACTTATACTTTAGATTCGCAAACCCATTTGCTTCTCGCTGTGAGTGCATAAAGGCCTTTAACAGTTTGTGCATCTAATGTTGAACTCCCACTGGTCAATGTCAGAGTGTTCTAATTGAGCAATTTTTGGCATGGCCGAATTGTCTCCTTTTTGACATTCCTATGTGTTCTTAAGTTTCTAAAGTGCTTTATAAAAAGATAGATCTGTGCATTGTCCTCTGTCTTCTGTAAATATTTTCCAAAATTCAGGTGCAGTGTCACTTATCAATTGTCATTATCTTTTTTTTTTTTTAATTCTTTTTTTTGTAGTGCATAAGCTAGTAACAAAACAGTTGTGAGGTACCCCAAAGGCTTTCCTCCAACGCATTATTGACAGGTGAATATAGAGGTACGTGTGAAATTGAGCACAAATTTTATATTCAAGGGTATAGTTCTGTAGTTCTGTCTTATAACTGAAGATAACATCGCTGGGTTATGTAGACATGCAAGGTTTATGCTTTGCAAGGTTTAGCTAGATCTGTCACATAACTGAAAATAACATGGGTGGGTTATCTAGAAATGCAAGGTCTACTCCGGTAGTGCCCTGAGGATTGCGCAAGCGCCCGGTCTCTGCTTTTGCATCGTGGCGGTTGGGAGCTGGATCATGTTGTGCCAGAGTCTGAAGGTCCGGTCCGGTGAGGTTCTGACCTGTGTCACTTATGTGGTGTTCCAGCTTTTTTGCAGCCGTAAGAGGGAGCCTGCACCCGATAGACATGGCACCCACATCCGCCTCGAGGACCTCTGGAATCTGTACTGCCTGATGGCTGCTTTGGAGACCCGTGGTATCTGCCTGTAGTTGCTGCATCGTATTGCTGGTCGGATCCACAAGGCCACCTTTTTTCCGCTTGTAGGTAAGTTGCTCCTCGGCTGTGCAGCGCATCTCAGAAACTTTTGCAGAGCCGGTCAAAAGTCCATTGAGGTGGTGTGGAGGGCCTGTTTTGGGCACTCCGTTCTTGGGGTCTGTGCTGGGCAGCTATTTTGGCAGCTATTTTGGCTGTGCTTTTCCAGGCTCGTTGTCCCTGTGTGCCGTGTGGCTATCTCGTCCACTTTCCGTTCCGGTCAATTCTTCCAGTGGGGACCGGGATATCCCCCACCGGAGGAGAGCAGCCGCCTCCCCCCGGCTCCTGTCCTCGTGCTCCTGGCCACGACAGGCCTCGGGGTGGTATTGGTTGTTTCAGCGGTGCACCCCTGACATGGGTGGTACACCCAGGTAGGTCTTTGGGCCATATGGCCCCCGCTTTTGCCCCGTTTTTAGCCCACTCGGCGGGAGCTCGTAGCAGACACGTCTGCACGGCTCTGTGTTTAGGCTCCACCCCGATTCAATTATCTTTTAATGACAAAAAGGACATGTATTTTTTATGTAATATTAAAAGTAGATAGAAAGTTCTGATTTGAGTAGTTAGCTCATATAAATGCAGACCCCCCTCTTCCTAGTTTTATTGTACACTTAACTTTGATCTTTATTTCAACAACAGACTGATAAAGTTTTCTGACTTTTGTCAGACAATTATCAAAGTGATCACAATCCAAATTTTTACAATGCATTTTTTTTTTGCTGGTACAGGTCGCTTAATTCAGAAAACATTATTTTATAAAAATCCAGTGTCTAGACCATGGATTTATTTTGCCTTCTAGTTTGATCTAGTGGAAGTGTGATCTTTCTATAGGGATAGTCAAGGGTGTTCATAGGTTATTTCACCGATGTGAACAACTGAGGTAATGGAGAAGTAGGACTCTGCTGTTTTGAGGAATTAGTCAGGAGCTTCCTGCCTGGTGAATACCATTTAGTAACAAGCTATATGTAACGTTGTATAGTTGGATAGTTAAATTCTGCACCCCTCCTTTTTGAGCTTGTGGAATTTACACTGGGAACTTAAAGAAATTAATTTGCTGTGGTTTCTGTTCATCTTTAGTCTAATAATGTTATATCCTTTATGGTCACTAGCCAAACATGCTAAGGGACCACTATAGTCACCCAGACCACTTCAGCTCTATTAAGTGGTCTGGGTGCCAGGTCCCCCAGGTTTCAACCCTGCAGCTGTAAACATTGCAGTTTCATTGCACTTCAGCCTCTAGTGGCTGTCTTCCTGACTGCTGCTAGAGGTGCTTCCACGGCGCTCAATGCGAAAATCGCATTGAGCACGCAAAACATCCATAGGAAAGTATTGAGTAATGTTTTTCTATGGGCGGTTTGAATGCGTGTGCAGCTCTGGCCGCGCATGCTCATTAGGCTCCACTCGGGAGCTGACGTCGGAGGGGAAGAGAGATCACCAGCGCCGAGGGACCACGGTGCTGGATTAAGGTAAGTGGCTGAAGGGGCTGAATCAGTACATTCTTACTGATCTAGTGGAGACATATTTACTCTGGGGTCTCTTTATCAGATTGGGGATCATATTCTTAAGGATGACCATGTTTTTTTCTGGTTACTATTATTCGGGTTCATGCCCAGGAGAGCCTTGTTCTATCCACACTGACATATTGCCATAGTTGGTCCTTTTGACCTTATGGTGATTTCTATTTTGTTTTTTCTGTGTCATTGAAGTATCGTGCACATGTGTATATGTTATGAAACAATTTTCCTAATTATATTTTATTTATGTTATTGGGCTTATTTGTAGTTTCATTTGTAAAAAAAAAAAAAAAAGGTATTAACGAGGAATCGTTAATGTTGATTGTACACAAAAAGTCGTAGGCAATGTTAGTAATCTTTATCATGCAAATAAATATTATTTGTTAGAGAAAACCTTTTTAAGTCCTTTAATGTGTTGAGTTTGCTATGTTTTCAGATGAAAGTAATAACCCTTCAACAGGATTGTGATTTCAGAAGCTTAGTGTAACATATAGAAAAAATACAAATAACTAGACTCAAAGAATACTGCATGCATACACATATATAAATACAGATAAACTAAATGAAATAAGAAAAAAAAAAAAAAAGCTTTTTTATGTGAAATATGGGAAAACAAACACACAAATATATGTATGCATATAAATAAAAATTAATATAAATATAATTTCATTAAATTTTTACTTCAGACCTGAGGAAGAGAGAACAACCTTGAAAGCTTGTCTTTGAAATATTATGTTTGTTAAATAAAAAAGGTATCATTGCATACTGCAATACTCTGGTATTTTGGCATCTTGTCTACTGGACTAATACGGCTAATCCAATCTACACTATACACTTGCAACTCTCTATCGCCTTCAAAATTGTAATACTGTTATATTGTATTAATCCACACCAAAGAGAGATTAAAAAAACCTTTATATCTATCGATATGAGACTTATCTCTAAGCTCACAAATGGGCACACGTTACTATTCTTTCTCCCATGGTCTGAGCTGTCCACTAGCAAGGTATCCAGAATACTTAATGTATTATCATCAAGACCTCAACTGGGGAAGTCCCTCTCTCCGCTCCAAGTATATTAGTCATTTTACAATACAGATGCTGTATAATAACATTAAAACATTGATTTTCATAGATTTACTTGTATCTTGGAGATAAGAAGTGTTAAACTTATAATATAAATATTTGCATAACTGTTCTGCTCCAGAATATTATAGCAGACAGTAAATGTCTCATGCATGCCTGAAAATTTCACAGTCAACATAAGACTGCAATTAAATCAATCAATTTCACAGTATGTTAATAATAATTTCTTAATTCACTAGTTGTTGTAATCTTGAATTATAGATCCATTTCATTATCTCCTAAGATTAATGAATGCATAATATATTCTGAACAAATCTGTAATTCACAGGGCAATTATTATTTATTCCAAAATATTAATTAAGGTTCAATTAGTTATAATTAATTTCCAAATCTATAGCAAAACATCAGTATCAAAGCCAGGCCATCTATATGGGTTAATATGGGTTCTTCGAAGGGGGGTTACTTTTTATAGATTTATATTGAGTACTATTTAACAATGCACTTTCTTTAAAACCTTAATGATTGCAGTATTCTTTTTTTGCAAACCATTTGGAGATCACAAGGTACTAGGTTAATAGTGACTGAAGTGAGCCCTGAAGTATGCTGTAAGAAAATCAAAATGATACCTGCTTTGATCATTCACTGATTAGCATGCTCATCCTTGATTAGTCTATTGACTTGTCCTTTAATCATCATGACATTGAATATTACAGACTTTCTTACACAAGCTGTCAATGCTTACACTGATACAAGATTCATATTTTATTGCACTTAGAATTGTCAAAACATTACATCAGTCTCTTAGTAACAAAGGGCGAGTAAATACATTTTTCCTAGTGAAAATTCACTGTGTGGTGACATGGCTAAAGAGAAGAATTTTAGTACTTCTCTACTGGGAAGTTAAAGGGTAGCTCCAACTACCATGATACTTCTGCTTTTAGAAGTGAGGTGGTGATTGGAATCTGGATATGCCGCATCTCAGCTTTAGCCACTGCACATCAGGAGTTATTGGCACTTGTATTCTTAGGGCAATTTGCAAGCCCAATTATATCCTGGGTTGCCTAATGCCAATTCTTAAAAAAATTTTACATCTGACATCAGGGCACACTGCACCCTGGCAACAGACATAGTCTGCTTCTCCCTGGAAGGCCTTGCCATCTTGTGTCTCCCTCCCTTCTTTTATGCAGCTCTCCCTGCCTCCCTATCTGGTGAGATCTCACTTGGAGTATTGTACGCAGTACTGGAGGCCGTATTTCCAGAAGGGCAAATATTATTTTGGAGAGAGTTCAGAGAGGGGCTACAAAACTGGTTCATGGATTACAAGGAAAAATTTACCAGAAAAAGGTTAAAGGATCTTAACATGTATAGCTTGGAGGAAAGACGAGTCAGGGAGAATATGATAGAAACATTTAAATATATGAAGGGAATCAACACAGTAAGGGAGAAGAGAATATTTAAAAGAAGGAAAACTACCAAAAGAGGACATAGTCTTAAATTAGAGGGGCAAAGATTTTAAAATAAAAAAATCATGAAGTATTACTTTGCTTAAGGGTAGTGGATGCATGGAATAGCCTTTCAGCTAAAGTGATAGATGTTAACATAGTGAGAGAGTTAAGCATGCATGGAATAGGTATATGGCTACCCTAGATATGAGACTAATGCAATTATTAAGAAAATAGGGAATGGCTCTTATCTGGCTAAGTTTCTATGTTTCTATAACATTCAGTATTTTTTTCTCTGCCCTTCCTCCTCCATCTCCCCCACCCCCTTCCTTTTGCCAGCCTAGACAAGGCATTCTCTCTGAGCTGGTTAAATGGTGCAATCATTAGGACTTTGGTTAAATAGTCCAATTATTTGCATTGGAAAGTCTATGATTGAACAGCTACAGAAAGTACTACTTCTACTTTTGAATGCAGTACAATTTTCATCTCATATTTGATGAGTTGTATAATTACACAGGCACCACAGGCACTTCAATCTATTGATTGGCGTTTAAAGGGAAACTATTGTGCCAAGAAAACAAAGTTGCTTATAGTGCACCCCTCCCTCTCCCTACCTCTCCGTGGTGCAAAAACCCCTTCTGCCCATCAGTACAGTGCCGATGTACCTTCTCGCTTGCTTGGGTCTGCCTCTGCTCTTCTGACATTGCTGATGTCAACGGGGGAGACCTAATGCGCATGTTCGGCAATGGCGTGCTAACCTTAGGGCTTTCCCCATAGGAAGGCATTATACAATGGTTTCCCATTGGGATTCAAGTGAGACTGAATGTCCTCATGCATAGTGTGAGAACGTCCAGCGTCAGTTAAGTGACAAAGAGTCACCTAACGACCCAGTAGTCGCTCTAGTGGCTGTCTGGTGGACAGCCACTAGAGGTGGAGTTATCCCACAAAGCTAATTATTGCAGTTAACTAATAACTACAATAATTAGCTTTGCAGGGTTAGGAG